GCACCAGAGGGTTCATACTGGAGAAAGGCCTTATACATGTGGCGAATGTGGGAAAACCTTCAGCCGAACCACCAACCTTGTTCAACACAGCAGAATTCACACTGGGGAACGGCCATATGAGTGTGACCAGTGTGGGAAATCTTTTAGCCAAGTATCTACCCTCACTCGGCATCAGTTACTTCACGCTGGAGAAAGACCTTCTAAATATAGCAAATGAGGCATGTCTTAGACAACCCTCCAGCATCTTCTAACATGAAAAATGTCACAGAGAGGCAGAAAATGTGGGAAATCCTTCAACACTGGGGAGACCATCACAGCTCCTGGAAGCCTACATTTGAAAACACCATTAGGCCTCCCAGAGAATTGCATTGTTGTTCCTTGTAGCGGGCTAGAGAGCCTGACATGAGTATTCAGAGGGACAAAGTGCTATGAGTTCCAGGCATGTGTAATTTGTACTGGAGGTTCCCTACACATTCTATATGGTCTGTCTCTTTTGCCAGAATTAAATAACTGCCATAGTGTCTCCTCGAAAGTGTCTCTCCTCTAGCATCTTGAATTGAGTGCATAGTCCCCCCAACATGCCCATATTCTCCCCTCCCCTAGTGAAAGCCTCAATTGCCTGTGCCTTGCAGATGACCTTAATCCCTTTTTTTGGTCTGTATCTTGCCTAAAAGAACCTGGTCTGGGTTTAGCTGGAGGCTTCAAGAAAGGATTATCTTCTTTCTCATTCTTTGTCTCATATGATTCATATTACTGTTTACATACTCCATGATCACTAGCCAGTAATTTCCTGCTGTTTTGTGCAATAATAAAGGCCTTATGTTATCTTTGTGTATTTTTAATCAAGAGTTTCTATTCACAGCCTTGGGTGGGTAAAATGCTACCATAGGCCCTGTTTGTGTAGATGGGAACAGTTTTTTGAGGCAGCTCCATTTGTGCCTCAGTGGGGATACTGTCATGGGAAAGAGTACTTCTCGTTGATGTTCCTTTCCAAGACCTTTAGTGGAACAAAACAGGGTGGTCAGTCCTTGCTTTTTACCTCAATGTTTGCTTTTTGTTTGTTGTTGGGAGGGGGGTGTTTTGTTTTTATTTAGACTACAGGTTACCTTGAAGGTGAGGTCACTTGTTAGACCTACAACATTCAGTGCTCTTAGAATAACAAATTTATTCCCTCATTCCCACATGATTTGACATGATGCCCAAGACTGTTGAAGGGAACCTTTCCACTCCGTTTCATAGAACCAAGTCCATGACTCCAAATGTCATTTATCTCTTAAGAAATTAGGTGAGCCAAATAGGAACAATAACTGATCCATCACCATGGGCTTTGATTAGCTGAGAGGTGGGGTTTGGTGTGAGAACAAAGACAGAGACCATAGGTGTTGTATTCTGGAAAGTAATTCGCCGTATCTTGTGTCCTGAAATTTTAACTGAGTCTGAATTCAGGCTGTTACATAATTATTTCTGGTTGCTTATAGCAGGATTGGCTATGAGAAACATCAACAAAAAACAGAGCATGAAGATTCAAAAGCGTACAGTTTTGCCAGGACCAGAATGTGTTGGAGTTGCAGACAGAGCAGCCATAGTTGCTAATGGAAACTATAAAAGAAGCCAAGTGGGCTGGGGAGATGTCTCAGTGGTTAAGAACACCGGCTGCTCTTCCAGAGTTCAATTCCCAACACCCACATGGTGGCTCACTACCATCTGTAATGAGATCTGGTGCCCTCTTCTGGCCTGCGGGGATACATGAAAACAACATTGTAAACATAATAAATAAATTAATCTTTAAAAGAAGAAGAAGCCAAGCACTTCATTGCTAGGGTATAGGAAAAAATATATATCTTGAAGGCTCCAGGCTGTTAAACTACAAACTCATGGAAAAGACTTTCCCTTTTAAAGGGTGCTGCTAAGATTTTGTAAAGAATTCCTTAGGCAGATGCTGCACTGGGTCCAGCTCCCCTGTGCAGGCCACCGAAGGTGTGGACCAAGGAGACTGTGGTTCTGCTTGAGCTGGCAGGCAGAACGGAAGTCATGATGTCATAGAAGCTTCCACCAATGCCAGAGAATAGTCTGTAATGGCAACTAGGGTGTGACAGGGTCAGTTTCCTCAGACGCCTCTGATGGAGATTCATGAAGCTTGAGAAGTTAATACTGACGTGCGTGTTGTATGTCAGGAACATGGGATGTCTGCCAAGGAAAACTGCCAGCACCAAGTGGAACCAGTCCCATAGAGACTGTATGGGCTACAAATAACAAGGCCTTAGGGGTAGGCATACTCAAGCCTGTTGGATCTCAGGTGATGGCAGCATGTGACCCTGATCCCAGAGATGGGGCTACAGAATTCAGTTTTCCATTCAGTTTTTTTGTTCGTTTTTTGCTCTCCTTCGTTTCCATCCCTCCCTTCTATGGTCCAAATACTTTCCTTTTGAAACAGGAATGTGTACTCTGTGCCATTGTAATTTGGACTTACGTAACATTCTTTTGGGTTTTATTTGGCTCAGTTAAGAGTTTACCTTTGATCTCAGAAGAAACTTTGAGGTTCTGAACATCATTGGAACTGTTAAGAGTGAAGACTCTTGAAGTGGAGCTAAATGCATTTTGCATCCTGAGGTGGCTATGAGCCTTTGGGAGCCAGGAATGGAATTTTATGGTTTGGCTCTGAAAGGCCTCTCATGTTTTAAAAACTTGCTTTCCAGATAGAAGTGCTGTTTTGACAGATGGTGGAATCCGTAGGAGATGAGGCACAGACGGCAGGAGCCGGTCACTAGGAGCAGGTCTTTTGACGGTTACACCCAGCCCTAGTTAGGTGGTTCTCAACCCCTTTGGGTTGCATATCGGATATTTACATTATGATTTATAACTATCAAAATTACAGGTATGAAGTAGCAACAAAACAATCTTATGGTTGGGGGTCCCCACAGCATGAGGAACTGTATTCAAAGGCATTGACATTGGGAAGGTTCAGAAGCATGGTCCTAGTTGTTTTGGCTGCCTCTCTGCTTATTACAGTGTGTGAGCAGCCTTTGCCACACGCTCCTGTTGCCCTCAACTGAGCTGCACCCCACCCCACCCCTAGCTTCCTCGGTCGGACAGGCTGAAACCTTTTGAAACTGAACCATCGTAAATCATTACTTCAGTTATGCAAAATTAACACACTGATGTATAACATGTGTGTTTATGTGTATGTTTTATGGTATATGCATTGACCAGGTTATAAATCCGAAAGGCCGTCATGCTCTCAATAATGTTTCCATGCAGAATTTCCCTTCTCTTGTATAATCTGTTTTCCACTGAGTTTTAGGTATCTGGTGACTTGCTCTCACTCATAATGGTTTAATTTCACTTGTAGCTTTTAGGATTTTATTTGAAGGGAATCAAAGTATTTGCTCTTTTTCTAATTATTTCCATATTGAGTAATTGGTTTTAAATTCATTATTGTTGCCTATATGAACACATCATTGTTTTTATTGTTAAGCAGAATTCTATTCTGTGGACAAGTTACTATTTGTTACATGTTAGTGATCAAGTGGCTTGTTGCCAATTGAAGACAATTAATAAAGCTAAAAGAACATAGGTGTACTTTTCTTTTTTGGAAAGTGTATTTTACCTATACTAATGATTTCAGTTAAGATACCTTTTACATTTAAAAAAAAAAAAAAAAAAAAAACTTAAAAACATGTTTAACCTGATTGAGTACATGGTGACTGACATTAAGAAACGCTCTCAGAATGTGCAGGCAGTCTGCCTACCACATCTGTAACCCCTCTGATCGCCAGGGTTGATTTGATTGATGTGGCTGGCTAGGCAAGCGTTCTCTTCCTCCCTCGCTGCTCCATGCATGTCCCTGCTGAAGCTGTGATCTTGTTCCAAGAGGAAAATGTTCCCTGGTAGAGAAGGAGAAGTCTTTGATCAAGAATATATGAGCCGCAGCTCTCTCCTGCCACAACCTCCAAAGAAAATCTTACAGACTGAAGAGACGGCTCAGTAGTTAAGAGTTTATGCTGACTTTCCAGTGGAGCCGGTTCAATTCCCAGCATCTTTGTCAGATTGGTAGTGGCTGACGTTGACTCCAGCTCCGGGGTGGGAATAGGGGTGGGGGTGGGGGCGGTATCTGACACCCTCTTCTGGCCTCCGTGGGCACAGAGGGAGAGGGAGAAATAAAAATAAATATTAAAAAGAAAGACTTTGATGGTTGAGTGTTCAGCCCTAAATAAGACATTTATGCTATCCCCTCCAATGCTCAGGAAACGCATTGAAGAGGACCCAGAAAGAATGCGAGGGTTCGAAGATGAGAGGAGGCTTTAAAATGCCATATTCTGGGTAATACGCAGCCATGTTAATCACAAACTGAACAACTACACATGACTCCAAATCCAGCTTCTCCCTTTAGAGACCCAGCCCTCATCCGGCTCTACTTTGCCAGTCTACTTTTGTCCATAGGAAGAGACTGTAAAAGACTCCAAAACTTCAGATTTTTGTTGCCGTTTGATTTGGTTGGTCTCATTAATGCCGTGTGCGTCCAATAGTTCCAAGTCACTATATTTTACTAATCTCAGCACTTTCTACAGCAGTTCCACAACCAAAGAGATTCTAAAAGCGCGGGGCCGACCCCAGGTTCAGGAATTTAAGGACTATTTGAGTTGACGCCTCGGGTCTCTTTATCACAAAGGACCCGAACTCGATCCGCAAAGTTGGTTATTGCGACCCCGCGCTGCTGCGTGGAGGGACTGTTAGGCTTAAACTTCTAGCAGCTTCAAGAACCGGGGTTTAAATCCTTGAACCTGCCACCGAAACCAAAGGAGCACGCTGCGTAGCCAAGGAAACTACATTGCCCACAATTCTTTGAGCCAAGTAGCAAAAGGCTGGACCAATGGATCCTGAGAAAGGCCTTGTCTGTGCTTGGACCGCAAGCTTTGGGCAAGACTTCTTACATATCTGCCAAACGGTCCTTGTAGCTGCTTTGGGGTTATTTCTGGCTATCATTAATATAAGAGCGTGCAATGGGGACCAAGGTAGGCGGAGAGGACAGGCAGGGCTGCAGATCTGCGTCGCTACCACTGGCGGCCGTGAGGGATGCTCGAATGTTTACAGAGTACGATGGCTGCTGCCGCCTCAGTGGCGCAACCTGCTCAAGTGTCGCGTTCCCCTGGCCTCACCACAGTCCTACTAGACCCCCAGTACAGTTCTGTTCTCGTCCCTATGGTAGAAATCCCTGTGTCCCCAACAGGACTGGGCTTGTGAGTGGAATCCCTATTACAGATTTCGGATGTGACTGGATGAGAGTGGGACCCACAAAGGACTAATTGACAGATGTGTGTCCTGTCTTGTTCACGAGATTAAACAGAACCATTTACGCCTTACAATGGAAAGGTGAGGAAGTTTACTTGTGTCCTTACGGACCTGGGGCTTAGTGAGGCTCAGAATGAAAGAACACGGTTTAAAAACACCTTTCAAAGTAGCCTTGGAAGGGTTAACACTGAGACCCAGGAAGGCTGAGTCTGGTAGGAGTCCAGCTATGAGTGCTGACGCCTAGAGATAAATAATTCAGATCTAATAATGCCTCATAGCTCTAGGATTGGACAGGGAGGCCTGAGCTGGTGAAACCCCTACTATGATCCTTGGCAACCTTCTTCCCACAGATTCTCATGACTACTAAAGCACTTACGGATTGTTCACAGGTGAGTAAAGAGTGTAAAGAGTGTATTCCAGGGGATTCACTGATGACCTCACTCCTTGTCTCTGGAATTGTGTGCTAAAATGATTGTTTCGCTAGAGTTCCACTGCATGGACCTGGAGAACTCCCAAACCAGGAGTGGAAACCCAGGCTGGGGGTTATATAGAAAGGTTTCTCACGAAACTCTTAGCAACCGGGGGGGGGGGGGGGGGGATGAGAAAAGAAGGCATGGGTTCCAAAATATGGAACTGAAATATGGGGCTGAGCTTGCTTAGTGACACAGGTTGCCTGTCCTTCTGCTGACAAAGCGGCAGGGCAGAAGCCTGGGGTGTCCCATGTCTATTCTGGAGATGATGGGAGCAGAGATGATTTGGTGAGATTTTTACCAGGTTCCCCATGGCTGCAGCAAGAACACACGGTAAGCGTTACAGCTCAGACGTAAAGGTATCCTGGCAGTTGGGAACCGAGGAATACCACAAAGTCACACCTCACAACAAATTTCACACAAGAGAGATATTGGGAGGGAAAAAAACAAGAAGGTAAAAACCTGCCTCTGCTCAGGGGAGAAACATCCGAGAACTGAACAGGATACAGGGCTTATATAGTTTCTTGGGGGTGTGTTGGAGGGGGGACTTTTGAGGGTGAAGCTTTCCAGGGTGGAGATTGGTGGGATTTCAAATCCGGAGATTGGACTTTTTACTCTGTAGAGCAATGGGTAATGTCCAGCATTAGGGCAGTTAAAGTGCTCTGTGGGTGGAACCTGGGAGTTCGAGCTTCTCAGGGGAGGGACCTGGGAACTAGTGTGGCTTGAGGGACTTACACACTGTGGGGCTAACAGGAGGTGACAGACACCCCAGAGTCACAGCTACTGCCCTAGTCCAGGGAATGGTTGGGATGGCTTCATCAGTGTGGTGACTGGAGGGCCCAAAGCTGTGGTTGGGCTCTGGATTGCTTTTTCATTTAAGAAATCCGGGTTTTTCTTCGGGGGGGAATGAGAGAAGGGTAAAATAATTCAAGGGACTCCAGATTTTTAGATTTTTATCGGATGGAAGCTTAACTAACTGCATTTTAATGTTGACTGTAGAATTTGATTTGGGGATATATTAGCATATCTGAAATCTTGTTTTGGCCATCCTAAAAACGATGTGTAAATCCTTATGTGAATATAAACCCCAGTAACCCCAGCACTTGGGGGGGTTGAGAAGGGCAATCAGGAGTTCAATATAAGAATGAACTATATTTTTATTTTTGTAAAAATATTTTAACCTTTTTTGTCTATTATTGTATATCTATCCATGCATGCCACAGCATATGTATGCACATCAGAGGAAAATTCTGTGCAGTTATCTCCTTTTACAAGTGTGTACAAAAGAGAGAAATGAGAGCTGCAAACCTGTGGTGCTGGCATTCAAGACATAACAGTGACGAGTCAGTTCAGCTCACCTTTAGATGTGTGTGAAGGACACATCTAGGGAATCCCTGGAATAATGGTCTAATCAGTGAGTTACAGCCCTGTGTTTGCCAAGCTCAGAATTACATGGCTTCCTCCAGCAAGCCTGTGGGTACTGTAGGAGAACACAGTGATACTGAGCCTGCAGTGAAAGGTATGTGTCAATGGCGTTGGAGGCTAGTATCTCCCAAAGAGGTACAAAATACAAAGCATAGTGTATGAAGGAAGGGTGTACAGGTAGGTGAGCTTGGAATCCTAGGAGAGAAGTAGATCATTTTGTGATTTGTCTCCATCCTGACAGGGCTGTGTGACTTTTGAAGACGTGGCTGTGTACTTCTGCCAGGGAGAGTAGAGCTCCTGGATGAAGCTCAGAGGCTACTGTATCTCACTGTGATGCTGGAGAACTTTGCACTTATAACCTCACTGGGTAAGGCCCGCATACCTCCCCGTGGTCTCATTGCCTTCTGTTCTCTCTATATCTGTATTTTCCTCTGCTATCAGACTACAGGCCCTGTTGATTATCCTACTTCCTTGATAGGTGCATTGTGGGTGCCCATATCTGAGCTGTGTGCATTACCCTCAGCAACCCAAAGACTCGATTCTTCCAAAAGATTCACTGAAAGTTCTGAGTGGCAAGAGTCCTGGAATCTAATCTATAGTTCCCACTTGGCTTGCTCTCTTTTTAGCTGGGTGACTCTTCACATCCATAGTACCATTGCTCTATTTTCTTCATCCTCCTACCTGACACCTCTTTATAGCCACTTTCTTCAGGAACTGGCAAGCATTGTCATGATTGTGTTGGCCTTGTGTTGGGCTGTGAATTCCTATCAGACCTTCTTCTAGGCTTTTTTGTTCTTGTTGTTGTTTGGTTTTTGAGACAGGGTTTCTCTGCATAGTTTTGGTGTGTGTGTCCTGGATCTTACTCTGTAGACCAGGCTGGCCTTGAACTCACAGAGATCCATTTGGCTCTGCCTCCAGAGTGCTGGGATTAAACGTGTGTGCCACTGCTGCCCGGCATCTAGGCTTTTTTTTTTTTTTAATACTTATCTTTCTTCCTAATGGTCTTCTGTGTACTGGATTGTTCTAAACCACTGCTGATCACTTACCTGAACTTCTTTTCATTAAAACTTTCATCACAGGTGGCTAGAGAGATGACTCAGAGGTTGAGAGTACTGGCTGCTCTTCCTGAGGTCCTGAGTTCAATTCCCAGCACCCACATGGTGGCCCACAACCACCTGTAATGAGATCTGGTGTCCTCTTCTGGCCTGCAGTCATACATGCTGTATACATAATAAATAAATAAATCTTAAAAAAAAAAAAAAAAAAGTCTTGCATCATGGAGTTCACACGTTCTTAGACAAGTAGGACTGTGGGGGAAATTCCTGGTTTCTCAAAGGATAAAAAGCAAAAGGAGTCTCATGGGGAAGCTTGGCCCTCATGAGTGGCAAGTGAGGCAGGAAGTGACATCAGAGTTGTGTCTAAATCACACCAGAAACCTGTTACACAGCAGTGTTTTGATGTGCCACTAGCCATATCCCATTTCTGTGTTTTCTTTGTCACATTCAGTAGTTGCTCGACTCCTGCTCCAGCTGTCCCAACCTTTCTTCCTGCCCCACAAGCATCACTTACCCCTCATCAGTGTCTTCCAACACTGACCCATACTTACTATGCCCTGTGAACATTGATCTTTAAACAGCACTGAAGACTTGCACAGTTAGAATTCTCTGAACCTAGACATGTCAAGTGTTCCACATCTACCCTTGTCAAAGGAGCATGTCCAACAGTTATATTGTTGGATTGTATGATGAGATAGGCTTCTAAAATATTTGTCAAAATTAGTTGCGTTGTGTCTGACCAACAAGGAAGGATGTTCAAGGGGTCTGTGTGTTTTTACAATACTAACAACCAATTCTACAGTGTGGCAGGCACTGCCGGTCTGCATTTTGACTCAGATTTGATTCTATCAGGAGTATGAAGTATGTCTCATATATTAAAGGCTCTTCAAACTCCAGTTGCAAATGAGATGTCCAGAGCAGTCCATTTTTGTCTATGCAACTACAAATTTGAGGGTTCTCTCAACATGTCTCTGGTTTAATCATGTTCTAGAAAAATGCTGTTATGGAGGTTGCAGTTCAGGAATATCAAATGGAAGAGCTGCATAAGCAAAGCTCTGGTCAGATGGCCAGCAAGATCGTTCAGCAGATAAAGACATCTGTGACCAAGTAGGTGGTCCCAAGTTTGATCCCCAGGCCTCACACTGTGGAGCTATGTAGTTTTCTTCTGGTTTCCATGCAAGAAAGAAGAGTAGAGGGAGAGAGAAGAGGAGGGAGGGAGGTGAGAAGAAGGAGGGAGAGAAGAAAGAAGAAAGGAAAGATTATTTGGGCAGGAGGTTTGGCTGCCTTCTGTCCTCTCTGGGCACTCCACTCTCCCAACTCTTCTCTGTAGTGATCAACCCAGATGTTTCCTAAACCATGTCATGTGGTGGTTCTGATGAAGGTCTCATTGATTTAATCATTGCACACAACTGATTAACTGATTGCACCCCTCTCCCCTCCCAGTGGTCAGTATGGGGCTGAAATTACAATCTTTGCATCAGATCTTGGTCTCTTCTAGAACTTGTCCACAATGGGACTTATGATTGCCTCCAGGAACTAGTTAGCACACTAGTATGCAGAGGCATTTTAGGATTAAAAATGGACACAAATTGGGCTATCCAATAGAAAAACAATGGAGATAATTCACCCTTTATAAGTCATATTTCATATGTTTTATCTCTTGAAAGCCCTGTTTTAACTTACTATAGGCTATCATTTTAGTAATAGTAGTAATAGAGGTAGTTGTTTTTTGTTTTGTTTTGTTTTGTTTGTTTTTTGTTTTTGTGCTGAATGTTGAACCCAGGACTTTGAACTTGCTTAAGAACCACTCTATACCTGAACTACATACCTAACTCAATGTGAACTTTTAAACAGGGGCTCCACTGGGTTCATTTGGTTGAATCATGTCTTGTGTCTAAGACAATCTAAATTTGTTATTTCTTAAATGAGAGTTTGACTATCTCATGGATAGAATAACTTTGATGGACTTTATAAAGGAATATGACCTTGTGGTTCAGTATCTGGCCCTAAGACAGACAGAGCAGAGGAGTGTGTTCTTTTTAATGTCATTTCTGGATTGCTTTATTTTTTCCATATTAACTCCATGCTTGCTGTGGGATGGTCTGTATGTCAAATCTGTTGCTCTGATTGGTCAATAAATAAAACACTGATTGGCCAGTGGCCAGGCAGGAAGTAGGTGGGACGAGGAGAGAGGAGAATTCTGGGAAGCGGAAGGCTGAGGCAGAGAGACACTGCCAGCCACTGCCGCCATGACCAGCAGCATGTGAAGTCGCCGGTAAGCCACCAGCCACGTGGCAAGGTATAGATTTATGGAAATGGATTAATTTAAGCTATAAGAACAGTTAGCAAGAAGCCTGCCACGGCCATACAGTTTGTAAGCAATATAAGTCTCTGTGTTTACTTGGTTGGGTCTGAGCGGCTGTGGGATTGGCGGGTGACAAAGATTTGTCCTGACTGTGGGCAAGGCTGGAAAACTCTAGCAACACCATGCTACTCATTGACCCCTTTGTCACCTGTTAACAATTGTTCACCCTTCTGCTGGGCAGGGTGGCACATGCCTTTAATCCCAGTACTTGATAGGTAGAAGCAGATGGATCTTTGTGAGTTCAAAGCCAGTCTGATCTACAGAGTGAGTTCTAGGACACCCAGGGATATGTAAAGAGATCTTGTCTTAAAACAATCAAACAATTAACTTGACTTAAAGATTGAATGAGAAGAAGCATTCCTTAAGAAGTTAAAACATGGGCTGGAGAGATGGCTCAGCGGTTAAGAGCACTGGCTGTTCTTCTAGAGGTCCTGAGTTCAATTCCCAGCAACCACATGGTGGCTCACAACCATCCGTAATGAGATCTGGTGCCCTCTTCTGGTCTGCAGGGATATGTGCAGACAGAACACTGTGTATATAATAAATAAATAAATCTTTTTTAAAAAAGAAGTTAAAACATCAAATATAGAGAAAAACAATAATAAAGCATCATTGATATACTCCATCCACAGTTAACATGACTTTCAACAGCATTTTTCTTCTTTCAGATTGTTGGTATGCATCAGAGTATGAAAAAATCCTTCTGTAGTGAGTGTTTGTGTAGAAATGCCACAAGCCAGGACTCCAGAGGAAACTCTACTCACTGGGAAGACTCACCCCTGTGACATCTGTGTTCCTTTCTTGACAGACATTTTGCATCTGGATGACCTACCTGGACAAAATCTGTTCTTTGTAGAGGCATGTTCAATCCTCCAGGGTCAAAAGAACCATAGTGCCAAGAATCCATTAAAGGGAGATGTAGACAGTGACTCTCTTATGAAAAACTGCATGCTCCATGTGTCAGGGAATCCCTTCATCTACTGGAAAATTAGAAAGGACTTCTCAGCTAAATGGGATAGTCTCCAGTCCCTGAACAGCTCCAAAGATGAGAAGCTAAGTGAAATCACCAAGTCTGTGGAGGCTAATAGAAAAAGTCACTTTAAGTCACAATAATTCAGAAAACCTTCCATCTACAAACTCAAGCTTGTTCAGCACCCAAGGGGATGCACTGGAAAAATAGATTTTGAGCCTAGCAAATACAGACAAGCCTTACAAGATAAATACTCACTTGTGCCATCCCAGAGAGTTCCCACTGAAGAAAGACCTTATAAGTGTAGGGAATGTAGAAAATCTTTTAGCCAAAAGGCTACACTTGCTATACACCAGGGACTTCATACTGGAGAAAAACCATACAAATGTGGCGAATGTGGGAAGTCGTTCAGTCAGAGCTGCAACCTCATTGAACACTGTAGAATTCACAGTGGAGAAAGGCCATATGAGTGTGGAGAGTGTAGGAAAGCCTTTGGATGCAAATCCAATCTTGTCCGACATCAGAGAACTCACAGAGGGGAGAAGCCATATGAATGTGACAAATGTGGGAAATGGTTTAGGCAAAGCTTCGGCCTCGTTGAACACCAGCGACTTCACACCACAGTGAGGCCATATGAGTGCAACCAGTGTAAGAAGTCCTTTAGTCAGCAAGCCACTCTCATTATCCATCAGAGCGTTCACACTGGAGAAAGGCCATACAAGTGTGGAGAATGTGGAAAATCCTTCAGCCAGGGTTCGAACCTTATCGAACACTGCCGAATTCATACTGGAGAAAAGCCTTATGAGTGTGGGGAGTGTGGGAAATCCTTTAGCCAAAGAGCTACCCTCATTAGACACCAGAGAATTCACACTGGAGAAAGGCCTCATGAGTGTAGGGAATGTGGTAAGTTCTTTAGGCAAAACTTCAGCCTCATCGAACACCGTAGAATTCACACTACAACAAAAACTTATGAGTGTGGCCAGTGTGGGAAATCTTTTAGCCAAAGAGCTACCCTATCAGACATCAGTGAGTTCACACTAGAGAAAGGCCTTATGACTGTGAGGAATGTGGGAAAACCTTTGGGTACAAATCCAAACTTGATCGACATCAGAGAACTCACACTGGAGAAAGGCCCTATAAGTGTGCTGAATGTGGGAAATTCTTCAGGCAAAGCTACAGTCTTGTTGAACACCAGAGAATACATACCAGAGCTAGGCCTTATGAGTGTGGCCAGTGTGGAAAGTCCTTTAACCGCAGGGCTGCCTTTATTAAACAGAGAGTTCACACTGGGGAAAGGCCTTATACATGTGGTGAATGTGGGAAATCCTTCAGTCGAAGCACCAGTCTTATTCGACATTGCAGAATTCACACTGGGGAAAGGCCCTATGAGTGTGACCAGTGTAGGAAATCATTTAGGCAAAAGTCTGTCCTCATTCAACACCAAATAGTCCACACTGGAGAAAGGCCTTATGAATGCACTAAGTGTGGTAAATCTTTTAGCCAGCGCTCAAGTTTCTTTCAACACCAAAAAGGTCATGGCATGGGGAATACTCAGGAAGGCAGCAAATGTGGCAAACTCCTTAACCCTGTGTCTAACAAAGCTCCTAAAAGTCCACATTTTAGAAAGACCTCGGAGCAACAGGTAATGTAATCTTTTGCTCTTAACAGATGAGCTGAATATTTTGGGTTTTTGTTGTTTGCTTGTTTGAGACAGGATCTCCCTAAGTAGTTCTGGCTGTCTTAGAAATTACTATGTAGAGCAGGTTGGCCTCAGACTCACAATGACCCATCTGCCTCTGCCTCCCAAGTGCTGGGATTAGAGGCATGTGCCACCACACCCAGCTAAGATGGTTTGAACTTTTTTGAGCATGCCATCTGCCAACATGTAAACCCCACCATAAACATGTGGGTCTAAAGGGTCCCATGCCTTCCAGGTAGTGTGATGCATATGGAAGCTGCCCTTCAGCAGTCCTTGATAGTTCTCCTTGCCCAAATTAAATCACTGCCACATTATTTCATTGAAAGAGCGTCCCCTCTTAGCACCTTTACCATATGTGAACATGTACCTCCAACATGCCTGGGCTTCCCTAGAGGAAATTATCAGTGCCCTGCACCTTAGGGGTGACATATTTCCTTTTCTGACTGACTGACTGTATGTGAGCCTGTAATTTGGTTACTAAGGAGACTTCTGGGCAAAGGCTTCCTTTAAATTCATGGTCTAATGTTACCCTTTGTAGTTGAGATAGACTTTATTCCCTTTTCTGACTGAATATACATGTCCATTTGATACTTACACACTTCAACTCACTAAGTAGTCACATCCTCTGTGGTATTGTTCTGCTTTGTGCAATAGAACAGGCCTTGTTCTCTCATGTACTTTTAATCAAGGGGTATGGTTTGTCTCCCTTGATGAGCAGAATTCTAACATAGGCCCAGTTTGTGCGAAAAGCAGGACAGTTCTTTATGAAGCCCCCACTGTGTGTGCCACAGTAGACACACTGAGAGCAGTTCTCTCTCAGTGGTGTTTAGTTTACAATGGTAGCCCAGTAACTACTAGCATTGCTCCCACTGTAGGGAAGCAAGGCTTCCTGGACCTTGGCTTTTGTGGCCTAGGTGTCTTTAATGTTACTGCTCCCCTCCTCCCCCGCACCCCCCCCCCCCCCCACCCCCGAGCTGAGGATCAAACCCAGGGCCTTGTGCTTACTAAGCAAGTGCTCTACCACTGAGCTAAATCCCCAACCCCATGCTTTTTTTTTTTTTTTAAGATTAGTGATTGTGGGGCTGGAGAGATGGCTCAAGGGTTAAGAGGCACTGACTGCCCTTCCAGAGGACCCAAGTTCAATTCCCAGCACCCACATAGCAGCTCACCCCTGTCTGTAACTCCAGTTTCAGGGGACCCGATACCCATTGCAAAAGCATCAAAGAACATAAAAGTAAAATAAAATATATCTAAAAAGAATAAAAGTAAGGCATTAAAAAAAAGGTTAGTGATCACTCCCATAGAAAGATTAGTTGTTTTAACTACCTTTGGTGCTCCTTGATACAGCTTGGACTGATTACAATATTCCCACATAAATTTACATTTAATGTGTAGTACTGTTGAACAGATGCATTTCATATGGTTGCTGTGAAGACATGTGTAATCTTATGGTTCCACAAGTTTTTGTCACTGGGATCCAGGAAAGAACAATAATTAGTACCAAAACATAGGGTGTGGTCCATGGATTGTGGAAAAGCCGGCAGAAAGCCGTATGCATTGTGCTGCTTATGAAAACTGTCCTATCTAGTGTGTCTTGGGCAAATCACACAACCAAATCTGTATGTCTTATACTTGAAGTCATTGAGAAGATATTCTTAAACGTTTACAATTCTCCACCACATTTCTTGAAATTCCCCACAAGTTTGAATGTTATGTAGGCAAAAATACAAGGAAATTTAATTGAGATTCCCGTAAAGGAACAACTGATGATGTTTTGGGTTTTGGTTGGTGGTCTGGCTCTGGTTTTGTCTAGCAAGGATTGTTCTTGTCTCAATTTGAATCGGCCTCATTGTTCACCTCCCCCTCTCCAGCTGCTGTAAAACTGCCTTCACCTAGTATCAGTGAAGAATGGAAAACCAGGGGGGTTGCCAAACATAGTTTCTAGAAAAATGGAGATTTATCTTTTTCACTTTTAGCCATTTTTTTTTAAGAATTTACTTATGTAAAATTGAAATACCACTATGTCTAAATATTTAAAGTGTATACATTTTAAAAGTTTATCATCCATGTATGCCCATGAAGACACTGTGATCTCTGTAGTCGACATATTCAAAAGTTGTTATGTTTCTATATAATTCCCCTGTGGTCCCAAGCTTTGAGGTATCCAAAGATTTCCTTTGCTTTTTTATTTTATTATTTTATAAGAGTAAGTATTTTGCCTGTGCACCACATGAGTGCCCGAAAGAGGGCATCAGATCCCCTGGGATTGGAGTTATGAATGGTTGTGAGCCACCATGTGGGTGCTAGGAATTGAACTTGAATCCTCTACAAGAGCAACAAGTGCTCTTAACCCCTGAGCCCACTCTCCAGCCCAATTTGCATTGTTAAATTGAATTAATTTGCAGTTTTTATACTTATTATGGATAGGATTATAATGTGCTAACTTTTTAAAAATCAGTTTTTAAATTTTATTTTTATATGTGTAAGTATTTTGCTTGCATCAATGTGTGTGCACCAAATGCATGCCTGGTACCTGCAGAGGTCAGAAGAGGGCTTTGGATCCCCTGGAACTGTTGTTAAATATGTATGTGATGCTGAGCACCAAACCTATGCACTCCAAGATCAGCAAGTATTGTTAACTGCTGAGATATCTCTTCAGCCCCTGTAATGTACTAACATTTTCCTGTGCTTTTCACAATAAGCAATCACTTTTAGATTCCTTAATGTTACTGATACAAACATTTTTCTCTGAGAAGTATTCTCTTATAGTTGTGTCACTCCTCATTCAGATTAATAAGCAGGTAAGTCATTTCCAGTTTGGTACTGATGACAACAAAAAGGCCACAAAGATTATGTACGTACAATTTTTTTTAAATATTTATTTATTATGTATACAGTGTTCTGCCTGCATGTATGCCTACAGCCAGAAGAAGGTACCAGATCTCATTACAGATGGTTGTGAGCCACCATGTGGTTGCTGGGAATTGAACTCAGGACCTTTGGAAGAGCAGCCAGTGCTCTTAACCGCTGAGCCATCTCTCCAGCCCCGTACATACAATTTTTAAATGTACAAACTTTATCCTCTCTTTGCTGTGACGTAAACTAATTGTATCCTTGTAATCTCAGTGTCAGTATGTATACACACATATACTTCATAAGTCTGGCCATTCTTTTTTTTCCAAGACAGGGTTTCTCTGTGTAGTCCTAGCTGTCCTGGAACTCACAAAGATCCATCTGCCTCCGCCTCCCAAATATTGGGATTAAAGGTGTGGGCCACCAGCATCCAGCAAGTTTTGCCCGTTCTTGAGAAAGGCAATCTCTTTGGAATGGTGAGCTGTATGTAATGTCAGCTCATTGTGGTTTAATGGCATTTCTATGATGTTGATAGTTCTACCTGCTGTTCCATCGGCAGACCTTTTCTCATAAAATGTTAATACCATTTGTCTATGTTTAAAGGATAATGGCTGACAATCCCATTTTTTTCTAAAAAGTACAAAACATTTATAGCTAAGAAATGTAGTGGAACTTTACTTAGTTTTGGGTCAAATAACTTTGATAAATGAAATAATTGTTTTTGAATATGAAAAATATTTTCTCAACATTTTGTAATATTCATAGTATTAGTAGTATGGACATAGTAATTTTTAACTTGAAATGCATTCTTAACATTTTCAGCACATTCTTGAATCTAGAAATTCAGTAAGAACAAATAAACCTGTTGCACGGCTTATCAGTTTTCCTGATACAAATCATCCTAGTCAGACTGGCATGTGATGTCACTACATGTGAACTTAGAGATGTGACATCATATTCTGTCTCTGTCATACGGATAGGCATATTGTCAAGAATATATGATCAAATAAGGGCATTCCTACCTTTCTCTTTATGAAGTAGCTTTATTTCCAAACATGGTGACACACAAGTACTCCCAGCACTCAGAAGACTAAGGCAAGATAAGTATTTAAGCCCAGGAGTTCAAGGCCAGCTCAAGAAACTTAGTGATACCATCTCTAAAAAAGTAAAATAGATCAATTGAAGTTTGTTTCACAACAAATTCTACCTATGTAGTGTATAATATTGGTGTCTTGATACAAGCTTAATTTCTTTGTCATTACTGTGATAACATACTTGACAGAACCTACAGGAAGAAAGATATATTTTTGATCTACAAGATTCAGGAGGTTTTGGTTCATTATGATAAGGCATGGCTGAGTGGTTCTGCCACCATAGGAGCATGTTGGGGACCACTGGGAAGAACAGTGTCATATGCACATGACAGGACCACTCACTCATGAGCCCACAGTAGCTGTGACTGCCTGCTTGAGGTCAGTAAGCCTCGAAGTAGGGTGCTTATTAGCCTCCTACTGAGGAGTTGTTGACTGTTGATGACTGTTAAGAGGAGAGAGAGAGAATCAATTTTCTTTAGAATTTCTTTGGCCTCTGGTAAGCCAACCATGCTTCCATGGATGGCCCCACACCCAAAGTATATGAAGAGGACAAATTGGACTCTGTGGGACAACTCAATAGTGGTTTGCTAACCTCACATGCATGCTATGGCACACACACACACACCAATAAATAAAAATTTACAATACAGTACCCCCTATAGGGTCCCAGGAGGTCTGCAAGTGGTCAGTGACACTGCTTCCTCCAACCTTGGGGCTGGGGACCACTCTTGGGCCTGGGCCTGCTTCTGGGCCACTGTCGTATACTCATTTCCATCACCTAGTGGGATGTGCTGTGGAAAGGTGCAATGTGTTGATTGACCCAACACCTTGTGCATAGAATAACTCTCACCTCAACCCTGACTGCTCAGCGTGGATTCCTGCTATTCCTCCTCATGGGACATAACCTTAAACAGGTCCCTATGCTGCCTTGACCAGAAGATGTATTCACATTTTCCTCTATGGGTTGAGAGGAGGAGTGTTGTGTGCCTCTCAAGTGCCCAGCTTGGTCCTCGGGTGCCCAGTTTGGAGCTCAAATCTGACACTTGGATCTCACATCCTGTCTGTACAAAGCTCAGTGACAGAGATAAAGTACAGGTTGTTGCTATGCCGTGCTGGAAAGGTACCACAGCAAGCTCAGAATAGAGAGGTGCCAGGTGGCAACTGACTACAGGGAATTTGTATCTGCCTTTCAGGCCTGTGAGATGGTTCTATGGGGGTAGACATCCACCTCCAAGCCTAACAACCTGAGTTCAATTCCTGGAACCCACAGAATGGAAGGTGATCCAACTCCCCCAAGTTGTGCTGTAGGCTACCACATGTGTGTGTTGTGGCACACTTGTGCACACACACACACACACACACACACACACACACACACACACACATATACACACATGGCAAATAGACATTGGGCCTAGAGAGATGACTCAGCAGGTGAGAGCACTCTCTGCCTTTGCAGAGGACCTGTGCTTAGTTCCAACACTCTTTAGGGTGGACATACAAGACTCACAACTATCAGTCATTCAGGCTCCAAGAAATCAGGCACCTCTAGCCTCTGTGGGCACCTACATTCACATCCACAGACCTACACACGCAGCACACAAATGAACAAAGTTAGAAACAAAAACAATTGTTTTTTAAAGACGTAGTGATAGGTAGGAAGTGAGCTTATGAACATTCTGTAGTGAGCATTCAGGACTACAGTATCACCTTGGCCTAGAACACAGGAAGCCCTGGGTAATTTACTGACAGTCACTCAGATTATTCATGATGGATCCCAGCTCACTCATTGTCAGGACCTGTCTTGTTTATTAATTGATCATCCCTCATGTTATTTGTCCCTCTTCAGTGTCTCTCTTCAAATCCTATATACTGGACTGACCAGCAGTTCTACCTAGGTATACAATGGGTTTACACTGGGATTCTGAGGGAAAGGACTGGGATGAGAAAGGAAAGAGTCAAAAGCTGAGGTCAGGAGGGCTGCGGGGGGCTGATGACCAAAA